TAGACTGTGGTTTTCAAATTGTCGGAGAGTTATGATGGGATGATAGATGGGAGGTCAGAGTAATATACGGGAAGCATAATCATGTTCCGATATACAAGTCCGGGCATGGGATGAGTGCATTGTCTCAGGAGGAGGCGAAGATCATTAGTGATCTGTCACAAAGTCATGTGCCGCCCAAGAAGATTTTGGCTAACTTGAGACAAAATGGTTTGGGTCTCGATGCTTATTCGAAACAAATATACAATGAGAAGGCGAAATTGAAAAGACTATCTAGGGGTGACCGTACAGTGATGAAACATTTGATTGGGTTGCTTGAGGAGCATAACTATTACAAGTGGTTCCGTACTGATGAAACAACACATGCAGTTACTGATTTGATGTGGGCTCACCCTCAATCTGTCGAATTGTTAAGTAAGTTTCCGTACGTATTACTACTTGACAGTACTTACAAAACCAATCAGTACAAATTGCCTTTGTTGGAGATTGTTGGTGTTACTCCTGTCGGGAAAATTTTTACTGTTGCAGTCGCATTTTTGCGCCATGAAAATGAAGACCATTACACATGGGTGTTGCAAAAGCTGAAGAGACTTTTCCCCCCTCAGACTCTACCTAGTGCCATCGTGACGGATCGAGAGTTAGGGCTCATAAAGGCGCTAGAGAATGTATTTCCGACCGTACCTCATCTCTTATGTCTTTGGCACATTAACATGAATGTGAGGCGTCGTGCTTCAAGATGTCTCGGCAATAGTAGGCGTCGTGGCACGACTTTTGTACTTGGTACGTGGCAAACTTTGGTAAAATCAGTGTCTGAAGAAGATTTCGCCAGGAATTACACAGCTTTGATGGACGAGTACGCGAATTATCCAGATTTGATTGAGTATCTCCAAGACCCTTGGCTCGTATACAAAGAGAAATTTGTAAAAGCATGGACGGATCTAATTTCCATTTGGGTAATACATCGACAAGCAGGTATTTATTTATAAGTGGTTAAATATATATACTTAACTTACTGTCATGTTGTTTATTGAAACATAGCATATTCTAAACATATTAGGGTGGAGAGCAACCATAGAACATTGAAGAGATGGTTGGAATCGTCCACGGGTGGCTTCGACACATTTTGGGCATAGTATCACTCACAGATGAAAGATCAATTTAACGAGATACTAGCTGATTTTGCAAAATCAAAGAGGATTCGGGCCCAGACGATCAACGTGCCCGTATTTAAAATATTGTCCCTGGAATTGTAACACATAATGCTCTGCAGATGTTGGACGATGAGAAGGATGAAGACATAGACGGTTGCGTCTGTTATATGAGGAAATGTCTTGGACTCCCATGCAGACATGAAATTCGTGCAAAGATGAATGCACGACGTGGTGTGTTTTATGCAGAGGATGTCCACATTTTTTGGAGGACATTTATTTCGGGATTCGGGGATTCCCTAGATGAAAGTGTTGGTTCTGTTCCCGACCACAGGTCACAGGCTATTGGCAAGCTAGAAGGGTTAATGAATGATTTGCGTGAGCGGTCAGAAATTGAGATCACGGACGTGACAGATGTCATTTTTGAACGAATGCATCCCGGGGCTATGGAAATGAATGAGCCACGAGTACTAGACTGCCCGAGAGGTAGACCGCGGACGAACTCTACACAGAGGGATCGGTCAGGGCATGAGTTTCCATTATATCCGGGAGAAGGTGAAGAGTCTGGACGAGGACGAGGACGAGGACGATCACGAGGCAACAGAGGGCGTGGTTCATCTTCTGAGAGATCTAGCCGTGGTCGTGCTCGTTCATCGACCGTGAGTGGACCCGCAATAGGTCAAATTCCCCGACCCCCTTAGATGCGACAACTTCATTTCTGCCTTGTTCCGGAGGTTGTGACGTGGACGGACGTTCAAGGGGATGGTAATTGTGGTTATCGAAGCGTTGCGTCTGCAGTGAAGAACCACGAGGATGATTGGATGGATGTTAGAATGGATGTTTATAACTGTATTAAAACACACGAAGAGTTCTTCAAGGATTATTTCGGTGGTGGTAATTTAGTGTATCGGGTGTTGGTGAGTGTCGCTTATTGGGACAACGCCCCATCACCCTATGAGAAGTGGATGACTATCACGGACGTGGGCGTGGTTGTGGCAACATATTACAACGCGTTGGTCTTGTCGGCTAGCAGCTTGGGCAATCAGACTTATTTACCACTTTGGGCTCCCGAAGGTGTTTCACAGTTATCTTACGAGATGACTATACTATTTCTTGAATCAGGAAGCCACTTTGTGTATGTGAAGATGAATGACAATTGTCCGCTTCCTCCGTTTGATAGACAGTGGGCGAGGTATAGCAATAATAGTGTTGCATATCTACCAGAGGCGTTGCGGAGTCGACGTGAAATGTGGGATATTCTTAATAGTGTTTGATTTAGTTTTGTTTATTTTGTTGGAATGAATGTATTACTATTGACATTGTATGTTATTATTATTATGTTATGATGTTATAATAAATATTACTATGTTATTATTATTATTATTATTATTATTATTATTATTATTATTATTATTATTATTATTATTATTATTATTATTATATTATGTTCTAATAATAATAATAATAATAATAATAATAATAATAATAATAATAATAATAATAATAATAATAATAATAATAATAATAATTGATCCGGCTGGATTCGTGGTGGGCTGGTTTGGAAAATTGAGTAGGCCTGAACTTGGACCGGAGCCCACGATGAACCTACAAGAAAGAAAAGAACCGGACTTAGGCCGGAGTTAGCACTCCGACGGCCAAGTCAGTAACTTCCTGAAGAAGATTTTATGCTTCTGTATGTAATTTATGTGTATGATTTCGTGCTTTTCCTGTATTTACTGCCCCTATTTATACTAAAAGAAAGGGGACGGACGTCAAATATTCTTCAATTTAATTTACCTGTCCCATCGCGGTAATTAAGCATCCGGACCTCAAATTACCTTCAATGCGGTTTAATCTGTCACCTCATTGGCGGCGACAGAGGCAAAAAGTAGCGGCCGAAACGACATTCCTCTGCTCTTGTCAGTGGATTGGACGGGCATTAAATTCCCCCATGTGCAGCAATGATCACCCCGGAGGGCGGCGGGAGGCTTGGCGAGAGAGCGAGAGGGCGAGAGACCTCTCGCACGTGGGCTGCTCGCGACCCACTGCGTGATCCCTCTCGGAGGCTTTGCGAGAGAGCGAGAGGGCGAGAGACCCCTCGCACGTGGGCTGCTCGCGACCCACTGCGTGATCCCTCTCGCCTACCGAATAGCTGTTTGATGGGCCCTCCCCGTTGATGGGCCTAATGGGGCCTTTTGACCTCATCTGGGCCTTTGGTCTTTATTGGATCTATCAAGCGATATCGGGCTGGATCAACTAGTCCCCCACTCGCGGCTACTTGTGACTTGATACTAGGGGCTGCGAGTTGCTCCTTTGCGAGAGACAACATGTATCCTGCTCTAGCGACCCGCATCTCAGCATAACCCACTTGCACTGCTTCGGATAACGCGCATCGTTTCACATTCCGTAGCCGAAAAAACCGCACAAATTCCTAGCAATTAAATATCTGAATTTACTAGTCTAATTAATTTTCGTTTCCCTTTTTTGTTTTTTATTTTTTTTTTTTTTTTTTTTTTTTTTTTTCCTTGGAAGTTGAAACGCCGCCTGCACCGTCCTCTCCCCATTAATGCGGTGCAGGCGGGTCCCTTCAAATCCCTATATCCTGACTATAAAAAGGGGGTCCTCCCCATTTTTCTCCTTTCACTCCTCCTTCAGCCTTTCCTTCTTTTCTCTCTTCCTTTCTCCGGCGTGAGAAAATTGCTTTTCCCCTCCTCCGGTTCTTCCCTTTCATCCAGGTACATACTTTTCGTGTTTGCTTTTCCGTTTCTCTTTAGTTTTATTTGTGTTTCTCCCCCTTCGTTTCTACTCCATGTCCTCCGAGTCTTCATCTTCTTCCTCGGGGGAGATTCGTACCCCTGTAATTCGCCTCGGACCTCCGTCAGAACAGAGAAATAGGCCCAAAAAGAGGGCCGTGGTTTCCAAATCCCGAGGCCCACCGGCCACTTCTGCTCGCCAGAAGAAGGAGAAAGGCAAAGCCCCCCTCCTCTCGCGACGTAAAGAGGGGGATGATGCGACCTCCCCCTCTGGCGGCGAGAAGGGGGTAGTAAGGGTTCCGAAAGTGAGGGAACCCTCCGTTTGTATTTTGACCAACCCTCAACATTCGATTCTTAACCCCGACGACATTGGCGACCTACTCGAGCGTCAAGGGATAGACGTTTCCTACGATCTAGCTCTTCCTTCACCCTCGCAAGACTCCCTTCACCCTCCTCCTGGCTATTTGACTTGGCATATTGATCAACTACTCTCGGGCTTATCGCTGCCCGTTCACCCTTTTTTCTTAGATGTGGCACGCAAATTTCGCGTGCCCATCAATCAATTTCTTCCTAACGCTATTAAGTTTATGTCAGCCTTTTTTATTATCTGTGCCGAGGCCTCCGTAACTCCCTCCGGCGAGCTGTTCCATTCTGCCTTCAAGGTGAATCGATCTCCGTCTGGCTTTTTTCATCTTACAGCTCGCCCCGGCGTAGGTCTTTTTAAAGGTTTGACTAACAAAGTACATAATTGGCCCAAACATTTTTTATTTATTCGCTCGCCCACTTCTTGGGGCTTTGATCCGTCATATGTTGAGACAGCCCCTCGCCCTGTTGGGGTGTCTCCCGCCTGCTTGGAGGTACTATCTCGGCTAACTGCTCGCACCCCTCCCCAATTGTGGGATGTTGAAAAGATAGTAGCTAGCCCCTCTCTTTTTGCCCGCACTGGACTGTGGGATATGTCTTCGTCTGACCCTCGCCCGCTGGGTACTTATTAGGGATAATTTCCATGTTTGTTATTATTTTGACTTATTTCACCTTAAATAATCGTTAACCCTTGCTTGTTTGCCATGTATTTTTCAAATAGGCGAGATGATCCGAGAAGCTATGAAAGCGGCTCTCGCCAAGCAGCGCGCCCAGTCTTCCCGCACCCCCTCTGAGTCCACGAGCCATGCCCCTCCGGATTCCACACCCTCTCCCAAGGCGGCCACTAGCGCGGCGACGGGGTCAGGCTCTCGCCCGGAGTCACGGCGAGAGACCCACACTGCTCCTCCCCCCTCCGTTGTTTGGCAACCCGTTATCGATATCGGTAGCGAAAATGCCGATAACCAAGAGGCTCATGATTCCTTTCGCTCGCTGGAGCAGGCGCCCTACGACGTCGGCCGCCCCAAGCGAGATGCAAGTGGAGAACATACTTCTACGATGTCCAAGCGTCACCGCCCTGCGGACAAGGGCTTCCTTTCGTCCCTTTCTCCTGACCGCAGCGTTGGTGAACTATCCCAACACTTCGACCAGCTGAAGCTTGCGGAGGACGCGCAGGCGCTCGAGCGCATGTCCTATGAGCAGCAATATTCCCGACTTCTATTCCACTGCTCCCAGGTAAGTACAATTTTATTTTGTCCCGCAGCTTGCATATTTATACTTACGCCTCGTTTCATGCTGTTTCAGATCAACGTCCTTCTCGCTCATGGTCTTGGCTCAACAGACCCTACTCGCCTAGCCGAAGAGCTTGCCTTCATGAAAAGATTAGCTAGCGAGAAGGCCAATGAGGTCACCCGCCTGCAAGACATGGTCCGCGAGTTGGCGAACGAGAGAGATGAGACCGCTCGCCTAAATAATGAGAAGTATAATGCAATGAAGACCTCTCTTGAGAGCAAGGTCGCTCGCCTTCAGGCCGAAAAGGAGCAGTTGATCGCTATTTCACGGCAGAAACATGAGGTGGTGGAAGCGGAGTGCATGAGGACTGTCGCACTGGAACGCGCGAGGAGCTTGTACGACCATATGTGCTCGATAGATGGGCAAGACTTCCTGCGAGCGTATCGCGAGGGCCTGACCCGCAAGTATCCTTCGTCTGCACATTTTGCCAACGCAGCGGCTCCAATAGGTATGGGCTTCATGGACCGAGGCATCCGTATGTATGCAGCTCGCCATAATCTTGATGACCCCTCGGAGGAGATAAGCTCCATCCTTGACTTGCTGGGAGACGAGATCCCCGGCTGGGAGGGAAATCCTACTGAGCCCGTGGATTACGCCTGGTGGGCTGGGGTGCTCGAGGGACTGCTCGCAGAGCTGAACAAGTACGCCGCACAAGCCCCCTCTAATATGGCTCGCCTGGATCCTACATGTTCTGCCTCTGCCCTTCCTGATATCCCTCCTTCTTGAGGCCTTTATATTTTCTCTTCATGCGTAGCAACTTTGAACAATCTGTTTTTTCCCTTTCTAAACAATGTTAATTTTTATTTGGATATTTTCATTATCTATCGTTTGAGTTTATTATGTTACATTCTTATCTTTACATTTCATGCTTTTGAGTTTTATTACGACTTTACTGTCTTTCTCGCATTCCCGTGAGGTTTGCTTGATGCAAATTCTTGTTCGCACTTAGTATTTGAAATTCGCACTTAGTATTGGAAATTCGCACTTAGTATTGGAAATATTCCCAATATCTTCTTGCTTGTTTTCTAGCGAGTTGCTTGATGCAAATGCTCGCTCGCAAACTTCATATTTGGAAATATTCCCAATATTTTCTCTCGCAAATTCCGTAATGGAAATACTTCCAATTTTTTCTAACTTTCTAGCGAGGTTTGCTCAATGCAAATCCTTGCTCGCACACTTCATATTGGAAATATTCCAAATATTTTCTTAACTTTCTTTCTCGCTTTCTTGCGAGATTCGTTTTGTGACGCCCACTACCGAAATACACTGTACTTTTTTTTTTTCCATTACAATAAATAAATACAATGACTTCCGATAAATACAATGTTTCCTACTTAATTTCTGAACAATAATATCAAATACACGTGACAACCAAATGCCACAACTAATCTCGTATTCATAGTTCTCGAATTACAATCATTCTTAAACACAACACTAGATTAAACTCTCTAAAATCTCTGAATAACTTCTACTCCTAAGAGCCATCAACAATATCGTCCACTAATGCACCTGTTACTGAGAATAAGAAGAAAAATAAAGGAGGAGTAAGTCCAAGTGGACTTAGTGAGGAGTACGAGGGAAAAACAGTCGAATCAAATAATAATCACAATATAAGCGTTCAAGGAATTGGATTGGAGTTGGAATTGGACCATCTAGAGAATGATCGTTCGATAAGGAATAAGAGGCCAAAGTATAAGGCACATCAATATGATCAGAATCCACAATATAATCAATATGTACAGGTAAAGAACAATATTCAACGGGTAATTCCCGGATATCAATTATGAATTTCGTGGAGATTCCCACGATAACAATTTCGGATAAATATGAGACCATGGAGATTCCCATGGTAACAATTTGTTCATGTACCTGTACCTGCCTTGTGACTCCCTTAGTCGTTACTACCTTATAACCCCGATCAGGGCGCTACCCTGCTAATTGATCAATAGGCATGCCCGGGCGCATGCCGATCCATCCATCAGCACAGTTAACCTCCAACTATGCCAATGGTCTAGATCCAATATGGGTACTGTCGAAGAGACCATCCACCGTCGGCCCAATACCGCCCAGCAGTCTTTTTCGAACAGCCCCGGGCCCAACTGGTCAATTATCCTTAGGGCGTCCCCAAAGGAATCAATAATATAGAGATACGGATATGCTTCCGACTATCTCAATTTACATTTTGAATCCCAATAATGAATTCCACTTTGGAAAGAACCAATATCACAGTTCAACGATTGTGGGATTCGAATAACAAGTGATAATATCTTGTGGTCACAAAATCACAAGTCAAGAAGGGTACGATCAATGGTTTCAATAAGAGAGTGACCACAATTGACGAAGATGGATCTCAATCAAAAATAGTCTACGGTTAAAATAGAATCCGTAGTTGTATAGCTCGAAAGGCAAGTGGTTTCAAAGGATCAATGGGAAGTCAAGATATGAACGATCCATCAATTCACAGTAGGTATGGAACGAATGATTTAGTGGATAAATACAATAATCCTAAATGGTCCAAGAGTCGGGAAAAGAACGATTTATGTTCATTGAACCACTGTAGAAACAAATCAAATGATTCACTGAATCATAATAGAAGAAGTGGTTCCAACTATTATATAAGTCAATATGTGAAACGATTCACAATTGATAGAGAATCGGACTGAAACTCGTTGAATTATTCAAGGTCGATAAACGAACTCAATTGAGTAGTCAAGGAATCGAGAAGAGAAATTATTGGAATAATTCCCGAATCAAGATGAGAACTTATTAAGTTCCAGGAAAAGGATTTCGAAACGATCAAAGATTGTAATAGCTCAAGAATCAACAATTCTCGGAAATCAAATTAGTTCACAGGATAGGCGACAATAAATATATATTGAATTTAAAAGACGAGTAATAACAATAATAAACCGAACGATACGAGTGCTCGGCATATATTCTGTTTTTCAGAAAGAATAGGCAAGGGGTAGGGATCCTCACCTGAAGTCCAATGCAAGTGCTATAAAAACACCTTACTCTCGAGTCATGCTCAAGTCAGTACGCTCGATACCTATAAAAATATTCATCACTTAACAACATTCTAAATGTTAATATAACCGTATTATTCCACTATATCACATACTCAATTTCTTGAAACATTTATTAAGAATGCCTTGCTGCCACAGCTTATTCGAACAATCGTTACGATCACCTTACTTATCCGAATAACCTAAACAATATATGGAATTAAAGCTAACATCAGTGTCTACAGGTTTACTGAAGACCCTGAGCCCAAATTATCGACCTAACACAGTAATAACAGCCTCGGAAGATGAGTACATGAAACTGCCAGGTTTTTAAACAAATGCATTAGCTGGCACTGTTTATTCGAAAAATCATAACAATTTGTAAATTCATCCAAATTGGCCAAACAATATACCAAATTGAACCTCACAATGTAAACTACAAGTTCTCAGAAGACACAAAACCCAAATTATTAGCTCAACATAGCACAAACGGCCTCGTAAGAAGAATATTCAAAACTGCCCTGTTTTTACAGATTTTACCGTCACTTAATTCGGACCTCTAATCAGCTTCAAAACATATTCTAGCTCTATACAATTTTACACTTACCAATAGTTTTCGAGGTCCTCTACGAGTTTCGTCAAGGAATGATTCCCAAATTTGCACTCCAAACCCTCCAAATTCTGCTCCGAAAACAGGTGCGGCAGCAGTTCTTCATTTCTCTGAATTTTGCCGACATAACTGTCGGGTTTAATTCGGTTATATATGATAGTCGAAATTTGGGGAAAAGATGATATTGCTATAGTATTCGAGCTGCTCTACAACTTTTGAGAATAAACAAATCCGAAATTCAAAGCCTAAGTACCTCAAATCGACTCCTAAAGTTCAGGGGCAGGCTGCACTTCTTGCCGTCTTCCGACCACCGGTGACCTCCGCCGGCGAAATACTTCACCATCGGGAAGCTTGCTTCTCAAGTTTCCCAACAATACTTTCGGATCGTCAAGACTCCATTGATAAAACCTTCTTGCAGCCCCTTTCTCTGAAGAATCAATTAGGGGCTTTCTTCTCTAATCTCCCAATCCTTCAACCTAAACTTAATTACTCAAAATCCTCTCATAGAACTTGATTTTTCCAACAATTTCTATGATTCCATTCAAGAATCGATAGAGAGAGAGAGGAGACAGCAGGCGAGAGAGATGATGAGAGAGTGAGGAGTTAGTGAGTATAAAAAGAAACGAAGAGAAGAGAAATTCATCGGATAAAGATGACGAATAAGCCGACTCAGCAATTTATCTACGAGGCTCTCTCTGCAATTCCAATTAATTGCACAGCATCGGTTCAATCATATCCAATTCATAAACTTGATTGCCAAGTTTATGAAATTATTATTACACTTATCCCCCAACTTTTCTATTAATAACACATCAGCCCCAAATCTCATTATAAAGTACAATAAACTCTTGTGTATATATATAACATAAGAATAAACTACGGGGTGTTACAATCTCCCCTCCTTAAAGGAATCTGGTCCCCAGATTCTCAACTAATACTCGGACATGGGATATAGTCTTCGATAATCATCTTGTTGCTAACTTGTGGCTTCTTCAACTTGGTAGTTTCTTCGAAATACCTTTTACGTCCTTTTTGTCGAGGATTTCGTCACCAAGATGGATAACCCTTACGTGGTTAATCTCTATAAAGATGGCGTTAGCTTAGTCGGTACCTCAAACATACTACGAATTCTCCATGAGATTCAACTCCACGAAAGAAAAGAAATAGTATTGGCAAGATGGCCTATATGTTCTCAATTGGAAATGACTTGGATAACGAGTGAACTCTTATCGTAATGAATTCCTACAACTGCTCATGAAACAGAATCAGAAAGTACCAATTGTGGAATCTCAATATTCGTGGTATTATCACCAATACCATTCAAATCATTGGTCTCGTACTAGAGGTAGCCTTGCCGCCGAGCACGATGCCTAATATATAACGGTCTAATACATAAATGTCGAGATATTGGTAGTCAGCCAATTAATGTGACTTGAAAGGTACAACAATTATTGGAAAAATAATCGAGTTAGGGTTGTAGCTATGAGTGCTACAGATGGTCTGACGAGGAATAAGAGGGATTGATACAAGCTCGATATCGATCGAAGGTTCTAAGTAGCACCCCAATTATCCATGTCATTTTCTTCAAAAGAATGTGCTTCTTCTCAACCGTTTTGCTCGAGTCCTTTCTTGGTGAGACATAAGATAATCCTATCAGTTTAGACCATGTACACTTGTGGAACGTTCCTAAGCTCTTCTGACGATCTTGTGCAGTCTTTGCACCTTATTTGATCAACCGAACTTTATCAGTAGCATCTTGCAAAATCTTCAATCGACACGCCCTTTATCAGCCATGATTGGTTGCTCTCGCTCATCTGGTTTTCCGTCACCAGCGAGTCAACACTTTATACCCAACAAGAGATAAGATTTCAGATCTATATCTAAAGAAGAGTGAAGAGGAGGCTACTGGCTCAGTCCACGGTTCTGGTCTACAGCAAGTGGTATTGATTGCTCTTCATCAAACTCGATAAGGACAACAAATCCTAATTTACCTAATATGCCCACATCGGATACTAGGAGGACTTGTTAGCAAATGATGATAATGCTTGTAAGTAAATAATTTCGAAAATTTTAGAAAATCTCAAGAGTAAACAAACTCTATCGACTTTCAGAATCATGATGACTAGACAAACTTTCCATGGACAAGTCAAGAATATAAAACAAAGGATAACAAGCTTTGAAAGGATACTTGGTGCATGAAATTCAATATCATAGGATATTCAGCAAAATAATCCAAGATGAAAACCACAAAATCTGAATAGGTGCCAGTCAAAAGGAAGGTCAAAACTTGTGCACTGAATTATGACCAATTATTAATGGTCATGATTGCCAATAGAACTGGAATAATACGAAGCAGCATAGGAAAGTCGAATCATAAGGTGTTCAAAGAAATGAGAGGCCGTGAATAATATGGAATCAAAATCATGACGTATTTAAGCAAGATGAGGAATCTCACTCAAGAAAAGTTGATAACCAAGAACATAAGGTATTGAAACTAGAATAGAAGAATCAACTATGATCAACGATGAAGTTTAAACTGTACATCATCTTATGCATAATCAATGCGAGAGGGAGAATAAATGTGGAGTTACTCGCACCAGAATAAAAGATTCCCCACATAGCAAAGAAGAAAAAAATAATATTCAATGGAAGATAAAAGAATTGAATAGAGAAACTGTCGGAAAATTCGGCTCATCCTTGAGAAAGAATGAAAACGAGATTCAGGTGAGCCGAGTCGAGTGATAGAGTTCTCAAAGAAATGAGAAATCTAACAAAAGGTATAACCAAATTTAAAAGAGAGAAGGAATTTCACAAGAGTGTAATCGAAACGAATGAGAGTAGAAATCTCATAAGAGTTTAATCTAAGAGAATATGGTTCTCTTATGCCATAATATTCCACATAGAGCAATGGAACGAAATCGGATTCAATAAAATGCTGAAAGAATCGAGTATATGAACTCTCAGGCATTTGGCTCAAGCATTTGGCTCACTCTAGATTATAAATTAAAACGAGGTTAAGGTAAGCCAAATCAAGTGAAATAGTACTCAAATGAATGAGAAGTTTGACGAAAGGGATATACGAATTGAAACGAGATTAGAAATCTCATAAGAGTTGAATCAATTTCAATGAAATAAGAACCTCAGAAAGCCGGTACACAAAAGTGGATGGTAGAAGAATAAAATAGAGTCTCGGAAAATGGATAAGACAAACCATAGAATATTCAAACGGGTTAAGAAACCTCACTTGTGTTCAATAATAGCAATATGATGTGGCCAAAAGAACCAAGAACATCAAATATCTATAGGAAAATAGATAAGAGTCTCGATTAAACTAACTCAAATATTATGAATTCGGGATCAATTCGTTTGTGGAAAAGCACGTAAGATGGATTTTTCTTGTCTTCGGATCTTGTCCTTAGATTTATTGAGCAGACATACCAGAAATTACTAGTCTTTCTTCTGAACTCGTGTGGATTTCGTAACTATTTGCGTTGAAAATAGAGGCACGAACAACTTGCCATTCTTGAATGGACCGTTCTCTTTCGACTAGAATTAACTTTCATGCTTGCGAAGTCCATCTAAACCTCGAACAAACACGATAAACCGAGTCCAAATAACATGTCGAGACCTAGGATTGATGGTAGGACATTAATATGGAATATTTCTCTCTATCTATTTCGATAATAGACGCCAAAATACCTTCTCAATACCTCTAATACTGAATGTTGACTTATTATTATAGGCAGATATACCGTTAATAACCTCAATTTCAAACGTAAATTCAGAGCTCTCTAATGTACAAGAGCCTAAACCCACCTTTAAAGCCTAAGTTTCTACAATTTCCAAGGATCTATATCCGGCGTCGCTCGGGTACCCAACCCAAGCTCTGATACCACCTGTGACGCCCACTACCGAAATACACTGTACTTTTTTTTTTTTTCCATTACAATAAATAAATACAATGACTTCCGATAAATACAATGTTTCCTACTTAATTTCTGAACAATAATATCAAATACACGTGACAACCAAATGCCACAACTAATCTCGTATTCATAGTTCTCGAATTACAATCATTCTTAAACACAACACTAGATTAAACTCTCTAAAATCTCTGAATAACTTCTACTCCTAAGAGCCATCAACAATATCGTCCACTAATGCACCTGTTACTGAGAATAAGAAGAAAAATAAAGGAGGAGTAAGTCCAAGTGGACTTAGTGAGGAGTACGAGGGAAAAACAGTCGAATCAAATAATAATCACAATATAAGCGTTCAAGGAATTGGAGTTGGAATTGGAGTTGGAATTGGACCATCTAGAGAATGATCGTTCGATAAGGAATAAGAGGCCAAAGTATAAGGCACATCAATATGATCAGAATCCACAATATAATCAATATGTACAGGTAAAGAACAATATTCAACGGGTAATTCCCGGATATCAATTATGAATTTCGTGGAGATTCCCACGATAACAATTTCGGATAAATATGAGACCATGGAGATTCCCATGGTAACAATTTGTTCATGTACCTGTACCTGCCTTGTGACTCCCTTAGTCGTTACTACCTTATAACCCCGATCAGGGCGCTACCCTGCTAATTGATCAATAGGCATGCCCGGGCGCATGCCGATCCATCCATCAGCACAGTTAACCTCCAACTATGCCAATGGTCTAGATCCAATATGGGTACTGTCGAAGAGACCATCCACCGTCGGCCCAATACCGCCCAGCAGTCTTTTTCGAACAGCCCCGGGCCCAACTGGTCAATTATCCTTAGGGCGTCCCCAAAGGAATCAATAATATAGAGATACGGATATGCTTCCGACTATCTCAATTTACATTTTGAATCCCAATAATGAATTCCACTTTGGAAAGAACCAATATCACAGTTCAACGATTGTGGGATTCGAATAACAAGTGATAATATCTTGTGGTCACAAAATCACAAGTCAAGAAGGGTACGATCAATGGTTTCAATAAGAGAGTGACCACAATTGACGAAGATGGATCTCAATCAAAAATAGTCTACGGTTAAAATAGAATCCGTAGTTGTATAGCTCGAAAGGCAAGTGGTTTCAAAGGATCAATGGGAAGTCAAGATATGAACGATCCATCAATTCACAGTAGGTATGGAACGAATGATTTAGTGGATAAATACAATAATCCTAAATGGTCCAAGAGTCGGGAAAAGAACGATTTATGTTCATTGAACCACTGTAGAAACAAATCAAATGATTCACTGAATCATAATAGAAGAAGTGGTTCCAACTATTATATAAGTCAATATGTGAAACGATTCACAATTGATAGAGAATCGGACTGAAACTCGTTGAATTATTCAAGGTCGATAAACGAACTCAATTGAGTAGTCAAGGAATCGAGAAGAGAAATTATTGGAATAATTCCCGAATCAAGATGAGAACTTATTAAGTTCCAGGAAAAGGATTTCGAAACGATCAAAGATTGTAATAGCTCAAGAATCAACAATTCTCGGAAATCAAATTAGTTCACAGGATAGGCGACAATAAATATATATTGAATTTAAAAGACGAGTAATAACAATAATAAACCGAACGATACGAGTGCTCGGCATATATTCTGTTTTTCAGAAAGAATAGGCAAGGGGTAGGGATCCTCACCTGAAGTCCAATGCAAGTGCTATAAAAACACCTTACTCTCGAGTCATGCTCAAGTCAGTACGCTCGATACCTATAAAAATATTCATCACTTAACAACATTCTAAATGTTAATATAACCGTATTATTCCACTATATCACATACTCAATTTCTTGAAACATTTATTAAGAATGCCTTGCTGCCACAGCTTATTCGAACAATCGTTACGATCACCTTACTTATCCGAATAACCTAAACAATATATGGAATTAAAGCTAACATCAGTGTCTACAGGTTTACTGAAGACCCTGAGCCCAAATTATCGACCTAACACAGTAATAACAGCCTCGGAAGATGAGTACATGAAACTGCCAGGTTTTTAAACAAATGCATTAGCTGGCACTGTTTATTCGAAAAATCATAACAATTTGTAAATTCATCCAAATTGGCCAAACAATATACCAAATTGAACCTCACAATGTAAACTACAAGTTCTCAGAAGACACAAAACCCAAATTATTAGCTCAACATAGCACAAACGGCCTCGTAAGAAGAATATTCAAAACTGCCCTGTTTTTACAGATTTTACCGTCACTTAATTCGGACCTCTAATCAGCTTCAAAACATATTCTAGCTCTATACAATTTTACACTTACCAATAGTTTTCGAGGTCCTCTACGAGTTTCGTCAAGGAATGATTCCCAAATTTGCACTCCAAACCCTCCAAATTCTGCTCCGAAAACAGGTGCGGCAGCAGTTCTTCATTTCTCTGAATTTTGCCGACATAACTGTCGGGTTTAATTCGGTTATATATGATAGTCGAAATTTGGGGAAAAGATGATATTGCTATAGTATTCGAGCTGCTCTACAACTTTTGAGAATAAACAAATCCGAAATTCAAAGCCTAAGTACCTCAAATCGACTCCTAAAGTTCAGGGGCAGGCTGCACTTCTTGCCGTCTTCCGACCACCGGTGACCTCCGCCGGCGAAATACTTCACCATCGGGAAGCTTGCTTCTCAAGTTTCCCAACAATACTTTCGGATCGTCAAGACTCCATTGATAAAACCTTCTTGCAGCCCCTTTCTCTGAAGAATCAATTAGGGGCTTTCTTCTCTAATCTCCCAATCCTTCAACCTAAACTTAATTACTCAAAATCCTCTCATAGAACTTGATTTTTCCAACAATTTCTATGATTCCATTCAAGAATCGATAGAGAGAGAGAGGAGACAGCAGGCGAGAGAGATGATGAGAGAGTGAGGAGTTAGTGAGTATAAAAAGAAACGAAGAGAAGAGAAATTCATCGGATAAAGATGACGAATAAGCCGACTCAGCAATTTATCTACGAGGCTCTCTCTGCAATTCCAATTAATTGCACAGCATCGGTTCAATCATATCCAATTCATAAACTTGATTGCCAAGTTTATGAAATTATTATTACACTTATCCCCCAACTTTTCTATTAATAACACATCAGCCCCAAATCTCATTATAAAGTACAATAAACTCTTGTGTATATATATAACATAAGAATAAACTACGGGGTGTTACACGTTTGATGCAAATGCTCGCTTGCAAACTTCATATTGGAAAGATTCCAAATATTTTCTTAACTTTCTTTCTCGCTTTCTTGCGAGATTCGCTTGATGCAAATGCTCGCTCGCAAACTTCATATTGGAAAGATTCCAAATATTCTCTCTTTCTAGCGAGATTTGCTTGATGCAAATGCTCGCTCGCAAACTTCATACTGGAAAGATTCCAAATATTTTCTAACTTTCTTTCTCGCTTTTCTAGCGAGATTTGCTTGATGCAAATGCTCGCTCGCAAACTTCATATTGGGAAATTTCCAAATATTTTCTAACTTTCTTTCTCGCTTTTCTAGCGAGATTCGCTTGATGCAAATGCTCGCTAGCAACCTTCATATTGGGAAAATTCCAAATATTCTTTCCTTTTTTTTCTTTTTTTTTTTTTTTTTTTTTTTTTTTTTTTTTACTTGTCGCTCAATCGTAATCCTGCTCGCTTGCTTATGTGCGAGTAAGTATTTATAGCTTCTTCAAGACACCAGGTTTTTCAAAAGAGGCCACCACATTTTTCCCAAAAAAAAAACATGGCTCATTCCGCAGACAGACGGATGAACAATCAAAAATATGGCCTATACTTATAATACAAAATGTTATAACACACTAGCACTATATATAGTAGCGCTTCAGATGGCACACGTTCCATGCGCGGGCTATCCTTAAGCCATTCATATCTTCCAACATGTAAGCTCCTCCTGCGAGAACCGCTACCACCTTATATGGTCCTTCCCATTTCTCCATTAGCTTTCCCACCGTTTTGAGCGCATCCGCCTGTTTTAAGACCAAGTCCCCCACTTGAAAGACTCTCTGCCTTACTTTCTTGTCATAGGCTGCCTTAATTTTGGCTTTGCTGAGCTCCATCCTTCCTCTCGCGCTCTGTTGCTTTTCCATTACCAAGTCCAGCTCCTCGCGCAAGCGCATGCTATTAGCTGTTTCATGAAAATTCATAATTCTGCTAGACGGCATTCCTACCTCGACTGGTATGACAGCTTCCGACCCGTACACCAATGAGAAGGGACTTTCTCCTGTCGCTTCTTTCGGTGATGTTCGATATCCCCATAATACCGCGTGCAATTCCTCGACCCAATTTCCTTTTGCTCCCTCCAAACGCTTCTTTATTCCTTCTAACAGTACCCGATTGATCACCTCGACCTGACCGTTCGCCTGCGGGTGGGCCACGGCCGCAAATCTCTGCTTGATACCCAGACCTGCACACCATCCCCGTATCTTGGCTGAGTTAAACTGTGTTCCATTATCTGAGATGAGATCCCTAGGCAACCCATATCGGCAGCAGATATTTTGTCATATGAATTTCATGACCTCTGTATCCGTTATTCTGGCCACTGCCACCGCCTCCACCCATTTGGAGAAGTAGTCTACAGCAACTATTAAGAACTTTCTCTGCCCCTTGGCGAGCGGCATGGGGCCCACGATATCTATTCCCCATTGTGCAAAAGGACAAGGGGAAGTTATTATCGCCATATCCTCTCCCGGCGTGTGAATCAGTGGGCCGTGCCTCTGGCACTTATCACATCTCTTGACAAACTGCCCAGCGTCTTTCCTCAAGGTGGGCCAAAAATATCCTGCCCTTAGTACCCGCGAGACCAATGCTCTACCTCCCGCATGGTCCCCGCAGCATCCTTGGTGAACCTCGCGCAGCACGTAACTGCCCTCTTCCAGAGATAGGCACCTCAGGTGCGGCCTAGTGTAACCTCTTTTGTGAAGTATATCCCCGATTAGGCAGAAATTGCTTGCTCGCTGCTCCAGGACCTTTCGGGCGCGGCCACTTGCGGGCGTCTTTCCTTGTAGACACGCCCTGATTTCAGTGCGCCAATCTTCCCCACTTGTCACTGTTGCAACACGCTCCTCGCCTCCGCTACATGGCTCTCCCACTAGCAACTGTATTTTCCTTGACTCGTATCCTACCGCCATGCTTCCTACCTTTGCCAGAAAATCAGCATGCTGGTTCTCCTCTCGGGGTATTTGAGCTAGCTCGCAGAAATCGAACTCGCTCATCATCGACCGTACTATCTCGCAATAAGCCATCATTCGCTCGTTTTTTATTTCGAATTCGCCTTTGACTTGCTGTACAACTAGCTGTGAATCCGAAAATATGTTCAACTTCCTGCCTCCGGCCGAAGATACCAGTTTCATCCCATGTATAACTGCTTCATACTCTGCTTCATTATTTGAGGCTTTGAAAGGCAACTTTATCGCATACTCCAACTCCTCGCCTGCCTCCGCCAGCAACACCCCTACTCCACTTCCTGATGCGTTCGCCGAACCATCGACGAACACCCTCCATATTCCTTGCTCCTCTGGCCTCGTTGTTTCCTGCAGAAAATCTGCTAGGGCTTGCCCTTTTATGGCGATCCGTGGTTCGTAGCTGATATCGAACTGCCCCATCTCTACTGCCCACTTGACCATTCTTCCCGAAACTTCCATCCTTCCCATCACTGTCTTCATAGGATGGTTAGTCCGAACCACTATTGCGTGCGAAAGAAAGTAGGGTCTTAGCTTTCGTGCTGTCGTTACTAGCGCCAGACCCATCTTTTCTATCTCGGAGTACCTCATCTCAGCCCCTCGCAAGAGTTTACTTGCATAATATACCGGGCTTTGCACTCCTTCCTCTTCCCGGGCTAAGACCGAGCTGACTGCGAACTCGCCTACCGCAAGATATACATACAGCTTTTCTCCTGGCACGGGCTTCGCCAACAGCGGGAGACGAGCGAGCAGGCTCTTGAGCTGCTCGAAAGCTTTTCCTGATTCTTCCGTCCACTCGAATTGAGTCCCCTTTCTTAGTATTTTAAAGAAAGGGTGACTAGCCTCTCCCGCCTTAGATATGAATCTACTTAGAGCCGTTATTCTTCCCGCCAGCATTTGAACCTCCTTGATATTTCGTGGTGCCTCCATATCCAAAACCGCCTGCACCTTCTCCGGGTTCACTTCTACTCCCCTTTCCGTTACCATGTAACCCAGGAATTTTCCCGTTTTCACCCCAAAAGCACACTTATTGGGGTTAAGTTTCATGCCGTAGCGCCGGAGCGTGCAAAAGGTTTCCTTTAAATCTTCTAAATGACTGCTCGCCTTCTGACTTTTCACCAACATATCATCCACGTATATCTCCATGTTCCTTCCGAGTTGGTCCTTGAACATTTTGTCTACTAGTCTCTGGTACGTGGCTCCCGCATTTTTCAGCCCAAAAGGCATTACCGTGTAGCAATAAGTTCCAGTGGAAGTGATGAAGCTCACCTTAGGCTGGTCGCTAAGGCACAATGGAATCCGATGATATCCTTGCGAGGCGTCCATCATACTTAGCATCTCGCAACCGGCGGTAGAGTCTACGAGCTGGTCGATTCGTGGCAGAGGGTAGTAGTCCTTGGGACATGCTTTGTTGAGATCCCTGAAGTCAATGCACATTCGCCACTTTCCCTCGCCCTTCTTGACTAAAACTGCATTGGACAGCCAAGTAGGAAAACGGATCTCCCGGATCTGCCCGGCTTCTAACAACTTTCGTACTTCTTCCTGTATAATTTTGTCCTTTTCTGCTCCAAAATGCCGACGCTTTTGCTTGACTGGCTTCGCGTTCTGCTTCACATTCAGTTTGTGCACCACGAGTTGCTCGTCGATACTCCCGAGATCTGCTGGAGTGAACGCGAACACATCTTGATTCTGTTTTAGAAATTCAACCAGCTGTCGAGACATGTCTGCATCTAAACTACCACCTATGCGGGTGGTGCGAGAGGCGTCCTTCTCGCTTAGTTGGACCACCATTAATTCCTCCATCGGCTTTACGTGGGCTTCTTCTTTTGCGGGGTCTACTTCCGGCATCCGGTCCTCCCTCCCCTGGCTACCTGTGGAAACTGTGCGAATAGCATCTATGTTTCATATTCTTCTTAGGGCGTCGTAATAACACCTCCTCGAGGTCTCCTGATCCCCTCGGACCTCCCCGATTTGATCTAAGACGGGAAATTTCAGCTTCATATGGTAGGTTGAGACTACTGCCTGAAATGAGTTCATGGACGGTCGCCCTAATATGATGTTGTAGGTAGAAGGCGCATCCAGTACCAAAAACTTCACGGATCGGGTTGCTCGCACCGGCTCCATTCCTAGAGAAATGGGCAGGCATACCTCTCCGACCGACCGTACCGATTCTCCCGAGAACCCGACCAAGCTTGTCTCTACATATTTTAACTCAAAATCCATATTCATCTTTCTGAAACAGTCATAGTAAATAACATCAGCGGAACTGCCGGTGTCCACTAATATCCTCGCGATATCGAAGTTTGCCACCATGGCAGTAATCACCAGGGCGTCGGAATGCGGCTGCCTGATTCCTTCTTCGTCTTGGGGACCGAAAATAATGGGCGGCACGTAAGATATTTTCTGCACTTCCTCGAGTTGAGCTTCCATCTCGCACAAGCGTCGGAGGTGCGCGCGGCTTGCCCGATCTGCTTCCTCTATCTCTCCAAATAACTCCTCAGTCTCTCGCAACTGTCTCAGGTGCGCTCGCCGGGCCCTGTTGGAGTCTCCCCCTGAAGGTCCTCCCAAAATCATGCTGATGAAATTGGCAGGTGCCACCTGGTCCTTCCTCTCATTTAGCTTTTCCCTTCCCGCCTCCGGTTTGCGGGGCTCGTTCGTACGCCGAGCTGGGAACTGTTGCGGGCGCTGGTTCCCTTCTTTCACAAATTCTGGCAGATTCTTCGCGCGTATGAGCCTCTCGATTTCGTCACGAAGGTGCTGGCACTCGTTGGTGGTGTGGCCATAATCATTATGAAAACGGCAGAAACTCCCCAACGTGGGGCTTTTCCTCGGGGCTTCTGCATACGTGCGAGGCCACTTTAACTTTGGGTTATTCTCTATGGCCAACAATATCTCTCCTGGCTGTGCGACCAGCGGCGCATAGCTGTCAAAACGAGGTCCTATTTTCCTCTCGTT